CGGTCTCCTTCTGCCAGGAAGAAGTGCGACGGGGCGGACCTTCAGTCGATCGCGAACGCGTTTGACAATCACTACGTGTACAAGCACATCGCCGTTGACTCGCCAGACCAGACGAACCTGCCGAGCAGCATCGATATTGTCGCGGACCTGCGGAAAATCGTCGCGAACGGCGAGAAGGGGAAGTACGCGCGGCTGGTGGACGCGCACATGGCGGCGTACAGAGCGACCCTGGCGCTCAACGACGGGCACAGCATGTTTTTGCCGCGTTGCTTCGTTGGTTCTTACAACCTGCTGCTGCCGCTCATGGCTGTCGTCGAAAACGGGCAGCAGATCATTCGCGTTGCGCCACGCCGATGTGAGTTTTCGGCACTCTTTTGTTTTGCCTTACTGTTTTGCCTTACTGTTTTGCCATGTTAGAAAGTCAAGGTCTGGTTCGGTACTCTTGTTTCCAGAAGCGTAGTAATTTCCCCTCTTATCGATGCCCTCTGCCCATCAGATGTCACTCCCAAGGGTATGCGACATGTTGCGAAGACTCTGCACAGTTTTGACTTTGACCTTTACGAGGGCCGACAGGTATGCTGCAGAGTAACCAAAGTCAATGTCTAAGCCAATCAGGCAACTGGTTCGTTTGAAAGCCTCCTGCTAGCGAGCTCTACACACCACACCCACTCTGCAAATTCCTTTCGAATGCTTCGTGTGACGTTGCAGGTGGTGGGTATTAATGGGGAGAAGGCGGAAGATTTCATCCTGAATTGGGCCGACAAGAATGTGGGCTCCTTTCGCAATCGCGCCGCGCGATTCACGAAATCCTTTGCGAGGAATGAGGCGGAGGGGACTCTGAAAGGGACGAGCATCGTCCAGGTGCCAGGCAGCTTCGCGCGGACATCCTTGGCTCCCGAAAACGACACCCTACTGGTGTCCTTAGCAACCGCGTCAGTGACTGGCACTCGGTGCTTGACTGTCTCTTGCTGTTGCTTTGCGTGTCGTTTACTCCTTGCTTCTTGCTTGCCCGTCTCACCGTACTTGTATTCCTCTTCAGCTGCCCTCCAGCTTAACCTCCGTGCTGCATTCTCTGCACCTCCCACCTTAACCTCCGTGCTGCACTCTCTGCACCTCCCACCTTAACCTCCGTGCTGCGCTCTCTGCACCTCCCACCTTAACCTCCGTGCTGCACTCTCTGCACCTCCCACCTTAAAACCAGGGTCTCACGTAAGGAAAATTGTCATCAACTGCAAAACAATTGATGCTGAGTCACCCTGTTTGAGGTGGCGAAGTCTAGGGATTGGTCTGGCAATTGACTGTGCGACACCTGACGTTTTTGCCTCTGAAGCAATTGCAAAACATTTCCCTGGTACATGAGACTTTCGGGATGCTCGCACAAATTGCTGGTGTTCTAGCTTTGGCGCCGAACCAATTTCCGTGCCTGGTTGGTTCGGACACAAACTGCGATTTGTGTTTCCTTCGCACCCCTCGCCACACCCCTCGTCATTCTTTACACCTCGCCATCCAATCCTAACCAAGGTCAAGTCATCAACTGCAAAACAATTGATCTACGTGAGACCCTGGTTTTAACCTCCGTGCTGCACTCTCTGCACCTCCCACCTTAACCTCCGTGCTGCACTCTCTGCACCTCCCACCTTAACCTCCGTGCTGCACTCTCTGCACCTCCCACCTTAACCTCCGTGCTGCACTCTCTGCACCTCCCACCTTAACCTCCGTGCTGCACTCTCTGCACCTCCCAGGGACAAATCTTCAACGGAGGACGTACAGGTGCCATGGATCGGGACAGCTAAGCTTGCTGCCTTTGCGAATGCCACAGGGTTCTGGGCGAGTTCCTGTGCCGTACCGAAGCCATCAGCTGCTGCCACTGGCGGCACCAGCGCGCAGGCAAGCATGCTCGCTGGAGATGCAGACATTCCGATGCGCATGTGTGCATGTGTGCATGTTTGCATGTGCGCATGTGTGCATGTGTGCATGTGTGCATGTGTGCATGTGTGCATGTGTGCATGTGTGCATGTGTGCATGTGTGCATGTGTGCTTGTGTGCATGTGTGCATGTGTGCATGTGTGCATGTGTGCATGTGTGCATGTGTGCATGTGTGCATGTGTGCATGTGTGCATGTGTGCATGTGTGCTTGTGTGCATGTGTGCATGTGTGCATGTGTGCATGTGTGCGTGTGTGCCTGTGTGCATGTGTGCATGTGTGCATGTGTGCATGTGTGCATGTGTGCATGTGTGCATGTGTGCATGTGTGCATGTGTGCATGTGTGCATGTGTGCATGTGTGCATGTGTGCATGTGTGCATGTGTGCATGTGTGCTTGTGTCCATGTGTGTGCGAGCAGGTATACCTGGTGGGAGGCAACACGGCTGTGGTCTGGATTCACCAGTTCCTTCCCAGCGATGCGGTGTCAAAGGCGCTGGCGGAGAAGAAGGTCAACGCAGAGAAGTACATGGTGCAGGAGGTCGCCAAGGCTCTCCAAACCGCTGCAGCGTTAGTACTACCCTCCTGCCTGCCCCCCATTCTTCTACTCTATTACACCTCTCCCGCCCCCCTTCCTTCAACTACACCAAGGCTCCACTTACATGGAAGAAGGAGTGGGGAAGTACATGGTGCAGGAGGTGATGGTGGGGAAGTACTGCCGTAGCAGTTGCAGCGTTAGTACTCCTCTCCACCTCCCCCCTACCTTCTCCACTCCTTCTTCCACTCTACTAACCCCTCCAGCCCCCCTACCTTCCCCACTCCTTGTCCACTCCTACCTTCCCCACTCCTTCTCTCATGCTAGTTCCCTGTTCTCAACTCATCACTCACCTGACCTTTTATCCTCATCACTTCCCCACTCATTTGCTACTTGCCCTTTCCCATGCCTCTTTCCATGTCTCTTCCCTTGAATCTCCCATGCGTTCCCCGAAACATCCTCCCATGTGTTCCCCCATGTTCCCCCCCCATGCGTTACCCCATGCATGTCTGCATGTGTGCCCACATCCATCATCACATGGAACCAATTCAGATCCAACGCGTCGCAGATCATAATAGACGTGCGTGGCAACGGTGGCGGCCACACCACAGCAGCATACACAGCCATCCGCCTCCTCATGGGGGCAGCAAAGGTCCCCGACTCTGAGTTTACCCTCCCCTTGGATTTCATCATCGGCACGCAGTACACTGAGAATGCCATCAGCCTTCTTTCCATCGACCCGGCAACGCAATACTGCATAGGAGTGTACGCCGACCTCAATGGGACCGACCTCTCAAGCGCGCTTCACTTCGCGCCTATCCGCGAGCTCCGCTTCACAGAGGCCGGCCGTGCGGGGAACTACTCGGCGCTGTTGAAGCAAAACAAGAAGTTTACTGGGAAGGAGCAGCAGCCGGTGCTTGGCGACCGCCCCTTCCTGGTCCTGTCGGACGGAAACTGCTTCTCCTCCTGTGGCATCCTCACGCACGTGCTGGGGAAACGCCACAAAGTACCCATGGTAACCGTGGGTGGTTTGCCCAATCAGCCCCCTGATGTGGGCTCCTCATGCCTCGGGTTTACCGAACATAACATCTATTCGATGGCACCAGGTCTCACCAAGCTCGCTGCCTTAATTCCACAAAACGCGTCGCTGCCTCTCAAGGTGAAAGGGGCAGTTGGCATGGCGTTTGCTAATGGGTATGTGGATTCGGAGATTCCGTGCGAGTTTGAGTTTCTGCCCAGCCAGCATCACATCAACTACACCGTTGACCTCATTGACAAACCCTGGGCCATGTGGAGTGAGGTGGCCAAGCTCTTTGCCTCCGCTGCGGCCTAGTTCATGCCCTTCCGACGTGCAGTGTTTGCTGATGTTGGTGGTGGGTAGTTATCCTGCTGATGTTGGTTATGGTGATGGATGGTGGCCAGATGTGCTAGTGTTTTATAAGGGTGATGTGTGCTTGTTATGCACTAGAAATCGATCTACCTTTTTCATACTGATGTATGAGCTGTTTTATGTATCATCCAGATTACATAGGTGGTACTGTAGCTGTGGCTGATTTATCCTGAATGAGATTGAGGCTCTTGGCTGAACAGCACCTTTCCAAAAACATTCTGCAAGTCGGAGATGTTCACAGGAAGATGTCTTGCTGGGTTGAGCACCAGGGTTGCACTGCGGTTGGTTTCACCGGGGTTGCGCGCTGGGGTTGCACTGGGGTTGCACTGGGGTTACGCTGGGGTTGCGCTGGGGTTGCGCTGGGGATGCGTTGGGGTTGCGCTGGGGTTGGTTTGGGGTTGCGCTGGGGTTGGTTTGGGGTTGCGCTGGGGTTGCGCTGGGGTTGCGCTGGAGTTGTGCTCTGGGGTTGAGCACTGGGGATGAGCACTGGGGTTGAGCACTGGGGATGAGCACTGGGGTTGAGCACTGGGGTTGAGCACTGGGGTGGTGCAACATGCCACCATACCATGCTGCAGAGGGCAAACAGGGAAGGCAAGCAGGGAAGGCAGGCAGAGAAGGCAAGCAGAGAAGACAAGCAGAGAAGGCAAGCAGAGAAGGCAAGCAGGGAAGACAAGCAGAGAAGGCAAGCAGGGAAGACAAGCAGAGAAGGCAAGCAGGGAAGACAAGCAGAGAAGGCAAGCAGGGAAGACAAGCAGAGAAGGCAAGCAGGGAAGACAAGCAGAGACGGCAAGCAGGGAAGACAAGCAGAGAAGGCAAGCAGAGAAGGCAAACAGAGAAGGCAAACAGAGAAGGCAAACAGAGAAGGCAAACAGGGAGGGCGAGCAGGGAGGGCGAGCAGGGAGGGCGAGCAGGGAGGGAAAGAAGGGAGGGAAAGAAGGGAGGAGAGGCCAATTAGGGAGGGCAAGCAAGGAGGGCAAGCAGGAAAAGCAAGCAGGGGGGGCTAGCAGGGAGGGAAAGAGGGCTAGCAGGGAGGGAAAGAGGGCGAGCAGGGAGGGCGAGCAGGGAGGGCGAGCAGGGAGGGCGAGCAGGGAGGGCGAGCAGGGAGGGCGAGCAGGGAGGGAAAGAAGGGAGGGAAAGAAGGGAGGAGAGGCCAATTAGGGAGGGCAAGCAAGGAGGGCAAGCAGGGAAGGCAAGCAGGGGGGGCTAGCAGGGAGGGAAAGAGGGCTAGCAGGGAGGGAAGGAGGGCTAGCAGGGAGGGCAAGAGGGCTAGCAGGGAGGGAAAGAGGGCTAGCAGCGAGGGAAAGAGGGCGAGCAGGGAGGGAAAGAGGGCTAGCAGGGAGGGAAAGAGGGCTAGCAGGGAGGGAAAGAGGGCTAGCAGGGAGGGAAAGAGGGCTAGCAGCGAGGGAAAGAGGGCTAGCAGCGAGGGAAGGAGGGCTAGCAGGGAGGGAAAGAGGGCTAGCAGCGAGGGAAAGAGGGCTTGCAGGGAGGGAAAGAGGGCTAGCAGGGAGGGAAGGAGGGCTAGCAGGGAGGGAAAGAGGGCTAGCAGGGAGGGAAAGAGGGCGAGCAGGGAGGGCAAGAGGGCGAGCAGGGAGGGAAAGAGGGCTAGCAGGGAGGGAAGGAGGGCTAGCAGGGAGGAAAAGAGGGCTAGCAGGGAGGGAAAGAGGGCTAGCAGGGAGGGAAAGAGGGCTAGCAGGGAGGGAAGGAGGGCTAGCAGGGAGGGAAAGAGGGCTAGCAGGGAGGGCAAGAGGGCGAGCAGGGAGGGAAAGAGGGCTAGCAGGGAGGGAAAGAGGGCTAGCAGGGAGGGAAAGAGGGCGATCAGGGAGGGCAAGCAAGGAGGGAAAGCACGGAGTGTGAGCTTACCTCATGGCGGCATCTAAAGCTTTGAGAATCTCCCCATCCATGTAGTCGTTAGGGTGGAGCAAAATCACTGCCTGGGTTGGTGACTGCCAGCAGGTGACTGCCAGCAGGTGACTGCCAGCAGGTGACTGCCAGCAGGTGACTGCCAGCAGGTGACTGCCAGCAGGTGACTGCCAGCAGGTGACTGCCAGCAGGTGACTGCCAGCTGGTGACTGCCAGCTGGTGACTGCCAGCTGGTGACTGCCAGCAGGTGACTGCCAGCAGGTTACTGCCAGCTGGTGACTGCCAGCAGGTGACTGCCAGCAGGTTACTGCCAGCTGGTGACTGCCAGCTGGTGACTGCCAGCAGGTGACTGCCAGCAGGTGACTGCTAGCTGGTGACTGCCAGCTGGTGACTGCCAGCAGGTGACTGCCAGCTGGTGACTGCCAGCAGGTGACTGCCAGCAGGTGACTGCCAGCAGGTGACTGCCAGCAGGTGACTGCCAGCAGGTGACTGCTAGCTGGTGACTGCCAGCTGGTGACTGCCAGCTGGTGACTGCCAGCAGGTGACTGCCAGCTCACCCACCGTGGTGCTGTGCACATCGAAGGTGTGCAGCACAATTATTGGCGTTCGGTTGCCCACCAGGTTCAGGGGAGACGGAAGGGATTGTGAGGGGTGCATGAAAGGTGAGAGGGTTAAGGGGACGCGATGACATGGAAGAGAGGAGGACGGGAGAGGGGTAGCAGGGGCTGAATCTGGTGGGAGCAGATGTGGGTTGAAAAAGCTCCTTTGGTAAACCAATTTGCCATCAGCACATCACGCTGGCATAGGAGTGGCGCCCGTGGATCTTTGCTGCTGCACTGCTGCTGGTTCTGCCACTTGGAGCGCCAGGAGCAGCAGTGTTGGCCTCACAGGGCTCTTTCTGGCGCAGTTGAGGTTCCATTAGGAGTGGGAACTGGTGGAAGCACCTCACTCGTACAAGAGAGCCATCCATGGCACACTCACCTTCTCTACTGCTCCCCTGTTGTTCCCAACCAGGGGACTGCCCAGACAAAAACAAAACAAGGCAGGCATGATAACCAGAGCAACACCACATGAAAACATAATGCCTCCTCGTGAGCAAAAGGGAAAGGATGAAATGACGCACGATGCATGACATTGAACGCTGCCAGCAGGGCGGCTGGGTACTTGATACATGGGTGATGTGAGCGGTGCTGCAAAAAAACAAACGTTTGCCTAGATTTGTCACAATCAGGTGTTACACATACCATCAAGAGGTTGGTTCCGACAGAGCATCAATAATTTATCAAACATGATTCTAAAAAAAAAAAAAGACAGCAGCCATGACATCAGCCACGACAACAACCACGACAACAACGACAACGACAACAACAACAACAACAACAACAACAACAACAACAACAACAACAACAACAACAACAACAACAACAACAACAACAACAACAACAACAACAACAACAACAACAACAACAACAACAACAACAACAACAACAACAACAATAGAGCATTGAAATAATTTGCCAAACGCACGGAAGTTTGCATCATCGGAGAAAATCTGAACCAGCACATGGCAACATAATGCACAGCTATGGCAATGCATGGTTGCAGCGTGTGCTTTTAGGTGTGTCAGATTTATGGCATTAGTTTCCTTCGTCAAGGCTGTCTAAGCAATCTCCTTTCTCATCATATGCATAAAATAGATGTAACATTTGGGCGAAGGTGAGGTGGTTCCTTCCATCATGCTCTATAAGAACAGCTGTAGAAATTTTTTGCCTGATATGATGGCCTCCTATTACCTTGCCTTGCACCTATTTGCTTCCATGCCGCACCACCTTCCTGCTTGTAATGTTTTCCCCCATGCACCTCCTAATAGCATGCCTTGAACAAATTTGCCTCCATGTTTCACCACCCTCTTGCCAATCATGTTTTCCTCCTTGCAACTCCTAGCCTCGCATTTTTTTGCCTCCATGCCTTACCACCCATCCGCCTATCATGTTTTACCCCATGCACCTCTCTGTCAATTTGATAGGTATGGATACCAAGTTGGAAACCACTCGTTGGCGAAGAGTTTTTTACTCTAGGCATTTTCCCCATATTTGTGATTGGTTTCCAATCCTTTTGTCAAGTAGCAATCGACTGGTCCAACTTTCCCAAGCCCTTTGAGTTGGTTTCCCAAGCCCTTCGAGTTGGTTCGGGGAGTTTGGGCGAACACGCAGAATACAACTAGCACGTGAACATGCATCTCAACATTTTTTCCTATGGGTTGTCAGGCCATCCTATTTCATTCGTTTCGTGCTTGCTTAAACGCCTTAGTTCGATTAGAAGATGAATGACTGTTTTATCCGATGTTACGATCTGTAGAGGGACTTAGTGGGAACTTGCTCTGGGTTGTTCGTAGGTAGTTCTTGGTGACATGATGTAATTACTTATATCAAAGAGATGTAGCAGTTTATAAAACACATATCCAAAAAATGCGAACAGTCTAGCCATGAACTTAAAGGGGCACAATCCCTTATTCCAGATACATCGCAACTATGCAATTTGGTAATCATTAGAACAGGTTTGCAGTTGCTATGTATCTGATTCTGCCACAACTGTCAAATGATTCTGCCACAATGGTCTCGATAGTTCTTCGACTCATCCGTCCCTTCAATTCATTTTTTCGGTAATGCCTAAATCTGTTACGATCAGGAATGCCGAGTATAATTTGATATCATGACATTCGCTACATTCATTTATGCTATCATGAGATTGATTTGTTACTCTAGTATAGCATTATGTAATTCTCAGTATTGTCAAATTGTTGGCCCATAGTGCGACGAAGCCAGTTGTTCACTTCCATTTTTTGTCATCTTTTTCCTTGATGCACTTCAGCAGCCTTAACTCCTACTGCAATACCTTTTTCCATTTTCAAATATTGCTCAAAGCAGCCCTTCTTTCATGTTTTCATACCCGTCAACTTGATGAACACTCTCGCATGCATCTCATATCGACTTCAATTCTCCTCAGCACCCGCCACACAAAAAAAAATCCGATCTCGAAAAACCACCTTGCACCTTTCAGCCCATAGATGGTGTAGAGTGATAGTTGTGCTTGTCGCTCGGGAAAGGCTGTGGTGGAGCCCACTTTTTTTAACAGCAAGTCACCCAACAAAGCCACTGTGCGACGTGGATTGATCATGTGTAGGGCACGTCGAAGCGCCGTGACCACCGGCTGGATTGTCGGGAAGCTGAAGAAGCAGTGCTCATGTGTTTCTGACTCTTCTCAGTACGGGTAGGTAGGTTTGCTGCTAAGAGAAACAAGCCTCTCCCCCACTTGCAGATTCAGGTTGTGGATGCAAAGAAGAACATCACGTGGACGATGTGGGATGACCAAAGAGTCACAGGTTTTATGGCCCACTTCCAATCGATGTGGCCATGCCAACTGTCCAACCACATCTCCCGTTTGAGTGAGGTAACGTCCTTCTTTTTCCAGCACTTTCTCACCTCTTTCAACGAGGAGATCTTCCTGCACATGAAGGTTGGGGCATGCCTCCTAGGGCAAACGCCACAGGCCTTTTGAGATTGAGTCAGCCGAGCTAGGCAATGGGGTAAGAAAGGTTACTTTCCAGTCAGGCGGGGCAGCTTTGAAGGCCTTTCTGGCTAGCCTCGCTAGGCTCCGTCCACCGAGTTCGCGTAAGATGGGTTGCACATCCTTGGGAAATCGGGTGCCATTTGTTCCAACACCAGTTAAGTCTTATAACCTCAGCTCCCGAAGGCGGGCTGAGCCTTTCTGGCCGCCCACCAGTGTCTTTCTGTTCAGCGGAAGGCGCTTGTTAAAAACGATCCATTCCTCTGCCATAGATGCAAGAGGGGATTCCATTCAAACCTCGCAATCATGTTTCCAACGCGGACCTTTCCCACGCCAGTCTTTCAGCAGCTTGTCATGAGCGAGAAAGGAGTCAATGCTGAATGTCATATCCGTGGCTCTGAGCATGAAACTCTGTTTGGGCTAGTTGGTTTCCACATATAAGCAAGATTCCAGGGTCATGTACTCTTGGTCCACCTTCCAACTGCATAGTATTGAGCAGGTTGTTGCTCCACAAAATGAAACCCCTCCGCGTCGAAGCCTTGTTCACCGACTTGTAGTTATGAAAGATTTTCATAATCCTCCTCCATATTTCAACAGGCAGCGGGTAGTCCTGTGCTTGAAAGGCAATGATTGGCGTGATGTAGCGATTGATTACTGCAACCCTTGCTGTCACAGTAAAATATTTCACTTTTCACTTCAACACCTCCTTCGCTATGTTCTCTAAAGCCCGGTTTCTGGTCAGCAGGGCAGCTCTCGGACGGCGGCACCCACACCTCCAGCAACCGGGCCCACTTGAACCCTCATTTCTTCCCGAGCATCTGTTTAGGTTCCTCCCAAGTGGTAAGACTACTGACTTCTCTTTGCTGATAGCCAGGCCTGACATGCTTTTGAATCTGTCCAGCAACTTCGTCGCGCTGACTATTTGGTTTTTCCCTTCAGCATCAAAGTAGAGTCATCTGCATACCTGAGGTATGCCAGTCGTTGCCCTGCTTTGCTGCTCAAACCAACTTCCTATTCTCTGCTTCCTGTACTAGAGGTTCCACCGCGCAAAGAAACAGATACGGGGCGAGCGGGCTATCCTGTCTCGTTCCCGATGCTACGTCAAAAGCGTTCCCCATCTTGCTGTTCATCAGAAGTTTCGTTCATGTTCCATTGTGCAAGCCCTCCACCCATTCGATGAAGCGTGAGGGAAAGCCCATCGCCCTCAGCATCGAGAAGATAAAACCTTTCGAGACAGAGGCGAAGGCTTTCGTGAAGTCAACCAGTAACAGTCTTCGTCCCTGTTACAAGCTGCTTTAATATCATCTGCAACCACCCCCACCGCGTTGGAGAGCCTTCTGCCCGGTATATAACCATATTGCTCCGGAGATATGACTCAGTGGAGTACTCTCTTCATTATGTATGCGACCACCCGCGTTAGCACTTTGTAAGTAAAGTTTGAAGGTGTGATAGGACGATAATTAGTCAACTCATCCATTTTTCCCTTCTTATGCTGGAGGATGGTGACTGCTTCTTTAAAGGTTGCAGGGAGCGAAGTCATGTCGGCAAATTCCATCGCTTGGGACATAAAAATCCACCACATGATGTCCCGGTGCATCTCAAATAACTCCGTCGAAAGACCACCACTACTCGACAATTTGTACTTCGCCACGGCCTTAAAAGCCAGTTTCACCTACTGCTCCGACCAATCCGCCGCCAAGCTTTCTGCATCCTCAAAATCAAGCCTCCCGCCCGGCAATGATGACCAGCTTTCTAGGTTCGTGTGGCAGTTCTTTCCAGAAATGTATGCTAAGTATTTCGACGTAGCATGCAGAATACCCTATGAGTCATTGACCACTGCACCGAACACTTGCAGTTCTGAAATTTGAGTTTGCTTTTGTGATTTTCTTGTTGCTAAGAGGCACACTTAGGGAACTCCCCCCTTGAGTTTTTCCTTTACTCCTGACATCAAGTGAAGCTTGCCATGACGAGATGCATGATACTCCTTCAGTTAGAGCTCTTTCACCATCAA